AAGTTGTAAAGTACGTCCACCTATGTGTGGATATAAATAACATCAAAAAGGGAGTTTGTATGAACGAGTTACAAATTATAATAACATATTTACGTATTAAAATAAAGTATAAATCATATATACGTACACATATATATATACATATGTATATATCATTAGAAAGGTATCGACGATGTGCTCATTATAAGACTAATGTTGAGTTCTTTCGACATTAGTTTAATACAAATATCGTTAAATCTATTTAAAATAGGATTATAAAGGGGTGTTTAGTTGTTTATATAACTATAAGGTCATTAAGTAATTATGGAGGGTAGTTTTTGAAAATTCAATTAGTATAAATAAGAGTCTCTAGCTCTCATATTTTTTGCACCATTCTCTTGATTCAAGTGTCTTTCTCTTCTTATCCCCCGAGCATTTCGGTCCCTCATGATTCGACTGCTTTTTCTGTACTTTTAGTATAGTAAGGTGAGCGCTGAAGCGTTGCATGAATCTTTCTTAGAAAGATTCACCGACGAAGTTCTGCCCCTGCAGAGCCCGACTCCTAGCTAAAATCCCCTTGTAAGTAAGTTATGCTTACCCTATTTTAATATAGATTATATTTAAAACTAGTATTGTTATTATGAACATATAACAAATATTTGAGCTATCATTATATAAGTGTCGTTATAACATTTTTTAACTACTCGCGGTACGGGGAATCTGGTTTAAAGGGTTGCATAGGGTTGTTGGATTTCAAAAAGTGTTATATGCCAAAATGGTCCTACCCTCCGGTGTTTTATGTTTGGCCCCTGTGTGTACATAGTGGTTGGAAAGTATTGTTTAAACGCTTATATAATAATAATAATACTAATAATTAGTCACTGTAAATATTAGACTAATATCTAGTGATAATAATACTATATTTCGTTGAAGGAAATTATTTTAAAGTAAACGAAACGTTGTCCGAGTACCGAGCCACCACCTTATCAAGTGGGTGCATGGTCTCTTTCATCTTACACATAGATACGAAGTATTTTAATATAAGTTACGTGCTATGTGTGCTTATTGTTTGAATACTTGATGTCTATGGTAGGTGAAATATTTTTATACATGTTTTAAATGATTTAAATTGTATATGTATTTTATATCTACAAAATGTGTTGGGTAAAACATGGGTAGATGTAATAGTTGTTGTGTGACCAAATAAAATATGAGAGGCCTCGTTATATATGTTATTGATGATCCAATCATCTAGCGGAGTATAGATGACGACCATGGACTATTCTAGACAGTCTAGTGGAACGCTAGCAGTCTCGCAACCTATAGATGTTTATTTCAACTGTATGTTTATTTGAACTGTGTGCTCACCAACAATACTCCATCCCCCATATGGTTTCCTTATTTGACATTAATTGTTGAGGAGCCCCCGAAGCATGTGTTGTCACCCCGATTAAAAGTCCTTAGACTAGATCCCTTGTGTTAGATGTTTTAGGGACGTAAAGTGAGGATAACGGGAACGGGTAATCGGGTTTGTTTGGTTTGATAAAGTTAATAAACTTATTTATTGTGGGTTGAAAACCCTATGTACTCACCAGGTTTCTCAACCTGACCCACTCGGTTTATTTATATCGTAGGTGTTGATATGAAGTCACATTACACTGAGAGATTAAGGAGATATAAATCATTAGTGATAATGAATGTAGGTTCTGTTTATGCTTATGTTTCTGTATTGAAGATGACATCTCAAATGTTTTAAAATGAATACAAATACTTATCTACGGACATGCTTTGATAACGTATTTATTATGTTTTACTAGGAACAAATTCCGCAACATTTTTATTAAAAGAGGTACTCTGATTTTTATAAAGCATAAACAAAATCGGTCTTTTCTGGTCCTGAAAATGGGGATGTCACATCAGCTGCAGAAGAAACTCCACTTATCCTTTTCTAACTGGCTTACTAATACAATTACATATCACAGACACCAGATAATTCTTCGAATGAAAGGTCTCACACTACAATGGTTAGGCTCAAATGAGAGCTTTGCAATAGAGTTAAAACCTAACCTTCTAAAATTATTTCTTCTCAACAATATGTAACTTGGTATATATGCTTACTAGTTAGCTGAATCTAATGGGAGCTCCAAAAAAACGCAAAGCAATCAACATTCGAGTATTAAGTAATCGTAACAAGCATAACCCTAACATGCCATTATATCACTGACTGATCAGTACTAGCATGCAAGTCTACAAGCTCATACAACAGGCATATAAAGGCATCTGTCCTAGCATTCTATCATGCAATCCTGAGCATATCCTTAACCATAATCTAGCATACGATTCATAGATTCACAATTCAAAGAATAACATAAACATGTATAGGTATTTTGGGAAACAATTACTTGAGTTTGGGATTGCATGCACCACACCGTTTTTCTTTTATCAGAAAACCCTTTTTATATAAAAAAAAATCTTTTGAAAAATTCTACCAAACCCTCAATTTGAGTTTAGACACACCTTAGAGTATGTCTGAATCCCGCAAACTAAGGTTCTGATACCAACTTGTAACGTCTCAATAATTAATACTGAAAATTTGGATTTTTAAATTAATAAAACCATTATCTAAATAACATCGTAGAAACCATGGTGAATCAAAGTGTATCAATAACATCCAAGTACATCAGAGTAATATAAAAATACGGAACGATGTGGTGTGTACACTGCAATCATCTCGGGCTCTTCCCCTTCGAACCAGAAGCACCTAAAACATAAACTAAAAACCTTAAGCACAAAGTTTAGTGAGTTCCGCAAAATACCACATATCGTACATATCAAACATATAATGGGCCCCGCCCGACATCGAGCACCGCTCGGTAAACAGATCTGTCAGTCATCAATCCCTATCTGACATCTATCCCCACATGGTATACATATAAACAAATAAACATATAGCCATATAAACACACGAGATAATCACAAAGATAAATAGCATACATGATAGTCATCACGTCCCGCCCGGCTTTGGGCCCCTCCCGGTAAACATATAAATACATATCACATGCAAGAGTCACACAGACAACTAGCATCCTAAACATAACAAACCATGAGCCAACATTTGTGCCTTCGAGCCGCAAAACAAGGTAAGAAAACTCACCTCAAATGGTTGAATCTCTCAAATAAAATTTCAGTCTATTGGTCCAGAAAATCCCCGCACTAACATCATCAATGATACCTAATTAATAATTGGGACTTAATCCAAAATGAATAGTCTAGTTCACTTGTCTAACATCCAGGGTAAAAGACCAATTTACCCTTTTTCCTACTTGGCCCAAAATCAATGCCCAACCCATTTGCTCTCTAAGGGCCTAATTCCTAAATGGCACCCAAAACCCAAATAGCCCAATCTAGAAAAGCCTAAAATCCAGAAATTATCCATGGGAGTTAAGGGGCCAAGCCCAAACAAAACATAGCCCAAAAACCCAAATCCATAATTCCTTTGGCCCAGACTAGCATATGCTCGGCGTATCAGGCTCGTACACCCTGCGTACGCGATTGATGCAGAAATGGGTTCGCAGCCAATACGCTCAGCGTACCCAGGAGTATGCCTCACGCGCTGGCTTGATCCCAACTCTTTGGCCAAATGACTTAAGCACTTCAAAACTTATTATCCGATCCACAAGATATCATCATATTAAAGTCCTAACCCATAAAATCAAAGGCTTTAAAGCCTTTGCATGGCTAATAACACCCCAAGGTCCAATTCTAGCATTTTAGCTCCATGAAATGAGATATCAACTTTGCATAGTTGCACAACACCCGAGATTATATGAGGAATTTATGGTTGTTCAAAGTGAGGCAATTTTACAAAATGCAGGAAAAAAACGAACAGCTCTATCAACTCATGTTGAAAGTTGTGTAAGTTGGTGAATCCTTAACCAATTAAGTTGTTTTTTAATCCTAAGTGAAGCGAATACACAAGACTACAATCAGGGAAACAAATCAGCTCATTCCGAGATAATATAAGGAATTTATGGCTGTTCAAAGTAGGGCTAAAATATTACAAAATGCAGGAAAACAAAGCGAACAGCTCTAACAACACATGTTTAAAGTTGTGTAAGTCGGTGAATTCTTAACCAATTAAGCTATATTTAGATCCTAAAATGAAGCCAAGACAGAAAACAACAATATCGTAAAAATATCAATTCGATCCGAGGTCGTATAAGAAATTTATGCTTGTTCAAAGTTAGGCTAAAATTTTACAAAACAGTAAAGCAAAAACCAAATCCAAATTTGCTTCACAATACTAACACTTGGAATTCCAAACATTTAAATAGCAGATCACATTCGTTAAGATGTGATCAAAATTCTCTTTGTATTTTCGGTTGAAAAAAAAGATGCTACAATTCTCATTTTATATAAATCAATCAATAATCAACATAATAAATTAACCAAGAATCATAGACTGTTGAAAATCAAAATCCAAATCAAAATCAAGTAATTACCTGTAATTGGAATTAGGTTTGCAAAATCGACATACACAGAAATCGGGGATAAAGAGATCGACTTAGTGTGAAGAAATTGATTTTGATTTGTTGAAGCCGTTGATATCAAGAAATCGATTTGTGAGGAGATCATGGACGAAGTCGAGACGTGATTTCAATTCTCAGCTTCTTTTTTTTTTCCTTGTTTTTTTTGGTGAGAATTAACCATATACAACTACTATAATATCGTATCCAAAGATTCATCACCAGGCATCTACTTGTTTAATTACATATGTGTAGGTATACGCATACCATCCATTGAAAGACTATATACATATCAGAGTATTCTTTGTTCAGTTTAGCCATGTGTGTTGCAGACCAAATACCTAGTAAGTTTCCTAGAGTGATGAACAGAAGACGAAACTGGCATCAATCGAAGAAAATCTAAAAAAATGAATGCAAAGTCACGATAACATCAAATAAGAAATTAAATGAAATCAACAAAAACCAAGAACACCAAAGTAGGGCTGTGTAACTGTGTTACTTCATCTTTCGATTGGGCGACACCAAAGTCTCGATATATATCCCTTTTTTTCGGAAATCAATTTTATAATCCTTTTTTGTTGTTGCATACGAACTCTTTTCGAAATCCCTACCTGGATCGAGTTCGTTCACATGGCATCCTGATCGACAAACTGTGACCCAATTCCCATTCTTCATCAAATGCAGCGGTTTCACGTAATAAAACTTCCCTGGTATCTGATACCTCACCACCTTCCTCCTCCGAAATACATCTCCATCCATCCTCCATAACTTTCCACCCAACTGATCTGTAGAATTTCGTTTATAGGTCACACACAAGTGAAGCTTTCCTTCTTTTTCAAGAACCATGGAGTTCAAAAAGTCAGTAGTTACATCTCCAAAACGAGGAGTTTCCATCACTGTGAACTTTTCCTTCTTTGTGTTGAACTTTATAACTGAAAACGATAATCGACTTCTAATTCTTCTGACACCCTCATCTATGAAATAGATGTTTCCATTGTGTAGAATACTCGCACCCCAAACAAGTTTGGTTCTTCTACGTGTTAAATCCATGCAATACAGCTTTCTCCATGAATCAGCTTTCAACGAATATATGTAAGCATCTCCATCCTCGGTTACACGTAAAAACATGTAGTCATCAGCAGATGCTTTGTAGTACAACTCCGACGCACTTCCGGTGACCTTGTAACACTTCGCGTCTGAATAATCACCAGACATTCTCTTACATTCACCTGTTGAAGGATTCCATAACATCATAAAAGAGTAATACCCATCTTCTCTCCCCTCCTTGGTTACGCCTACGCAAACCAGTCCATTACAAGATCCTAAAATCGTTATGTTTTTAGAACTACTGGCTACGAATGGCAAAGAGCGGCTGTCGGAGAAACCATCATCAAGTGTTTCACAGTGGACAGTGCGGAAGTGCGTGCATGGTTTTGTATCGGAGAATAAGAGAAGTTTGTGGTGGTTTTGATGGTGGTCGAGGTGCATGATGGTAAAAAGACGGGTGTTTAGGAAGGAGTTCCATTGTTTTGAAACGCATCTTAAACTTGTTGCGTGTTTTACCGGCAGCCGTGGTAATATGTTGTAGAAGATTACGTCGTGTGGCAGCTCCGTGATGAGGTTAGGAGGGGAAGGGTGGTGCTCAGCCATGTTTGTCTGTCTTGTACCAAGAACAAGGGTTAGGGAGGATCGATGTTATTGTTTATAATTTTCTTGAATAAAATTTCCTTTGTTTTAAACAGAATTGGATTTCGCTGAAGTTCTTTGACCTAGAATCAAGGAAACAGTTGTAGATTTTTCATGACTTTCTGTTTTGTGATTAAAACATGAAACAATTATATTATTCGTTCAAAAGATTATTTAGTCGTATATAAAAAAATACTAAAGATCGTTAATTAATAATTGTAAATGAGCATGTTCAAAATACGACCTTTTCAATATAGTATATAGAGAGGGGGTTTTGGTGGAGAGTGCTATTTTGATGTCACTACTCCCTATTAGAATAATGGGATTTCCCACAGAATAGGGTATCTCTTAAGTAATTTGCTACCAAATACAAAATTTTGAAAAACCTCACATATTTGGTGATCTATAGTTATTTTGGTAGGTAATTTGCTATAAAATAAAAAACAAGATCTTTTAAATTATTGTAGTTATTCTATAGATAATTTGCTATATAATACTTATGAAAATGGGAAAAGATTAGACTTTTTAAAACTTTGTACGGAATCCTTAGTAAACGTTTTCATTTCCCCGTTTATTCTTTAGATTATTTAATATTTATAATACTAATTGTGATCCATGTATTATATGAATTAATTAAAAAAAGTCAAATATAAAGATCAAAATATTTGAGAACTTTGAATCTATAAAAAAATAAGAAAAATAATAAATTATTATAATTGAAAGGTTTTTTATTTTTTAAATTTAATCAAATAATTTAAATAAATAAACACAGAAACTAATGAACTTTAATTTGAGAAAATTGAAATTAAAATATAAGTTCATTAATGAATTTGATATTTATTTATTATTACATTTATTGTAATTATTACTATAAAATATAATGTTGAATTTAATAAAATATAAAAACTCATAAAATGACATGTGGAAAAAAATTAATTCAAAACAATCACAAAACGACATTTGGCGAATTGAATGAGAATGCGACACATGACAAAAAAAAAAAAAAAAAAAACTTTCATTTATTATAATAAGATTTTTAGTTGTATTTCTATTATTATTATCGTATTTATAATTGTTAGTTTATTTGTAATTCTATATTTATTTCTATTCTTATATATATATATATATATATATATATATATATATATATATATATATATATATATATATATATATAAAAGATTTTAATTAATTAATTAATTATTATTATATGATATTGGAAACAACATGAATACCTAACGATGTTTCTATATGGTTGGTCGATTCAGACCCTAAAGTTATTTTGTATCTTTATAGGGCATAAGATTGGATGCAACCTGTCTTTTTAGTAATCGAGACCTATTTTAACAGGTTTTAGTGCCACATCATGAATATGTGGTGTGCTAGGTGGTACTTTGGTCCAAAATCTTTAAGGGTTCATTTGTTCTTTTGTTCTAAATGATGATAAGAAGAAGGTTAGACCACCACTACCTTTATCGTTCAGATGTTCACAAATCATCACATTTCCCATACCACCATCATTGTCCACCACCCATCACCTTCCCCTACCACCATTGTGAACAAACCAAAACGAAAAGCAAAGCTTAGAAGGCCAAATCTTTGAAGCTTCAAATAATAACCACAAATCTTTAAGGCTAAATAAAAACACATAACTATTTGAATCTTTAAAAAAAATGCAAAAATAACATGATGAACATGAAGAATACAAGAACAAGATAAGATTAAGAACAACTCGTTCTTCAACAAAAAGATTTAGTCAGATGTATAACAAAAAAAATTTAAAAATCCAAAATTAAGATCTAGAAAATAATATGAAAGTCAACTTCTACACATACTATATATGACGGAAACTCAAAATTAAGATTATAAGAAGATCTAAAACCTGATATTAAAATCTAAAAGAAGATTTGAAAATCAAATTTTACATAACCAGCATCTCCTAAATTTAACAAGACACAAAGAGGTGAAATTGAAGATTTGAACACACAAATCTGAAACCCAAAATTGAGATTTGGAAGAAAATATGAACACAAAATCGAGAGCCTAAAATAAATGTCAACAAAACCAAATGTATACTTTTATGATGAAAACTAATACCTAAAATGAACATCAAGAAAATCAAACCACCTAAAATGAACATCAACAAAATCGAAACACGATACAAGAAACACAAATTGGAAGGATTAATCTAACGAGATTGGCTTGTCGATGACGACGACGATAGTCTGAGTGATTGCCCAAAAGAGAGATCTGGAGAAGATGATATATGTTCTTGTTTCCAAAAAAACAAAGAGGTTAGTCAAAAAAATGTCTGAAATGGAAAGCAACGTGATTCTTGTTTGGGAAGTTTTTAATTCTCTTGATAATTTCAACATTGGTTTTTTTCTTTTGTAAAAATAGAACTTATTAATTTTAACAGTTAATTGATGACATGTCATGGTTAATGGGACAAATCTTATAGATGTGGCCCTGAAACCTAATAAAATAGGTGAATGTGACTAAAAAAGATAGGTTACTAATGATTTTGTTCCCCTATGAAGCAACGAAATAACTTTAATGTTTGAATCGACCAACCTTAAAATCTTTATAGGGTATTTGTGTCATTTTTCCTATTTATTATTATTATTATTATTATTATTAACACATACATATACATATAGATCTATAAACGAACAGAACTTTCAACGAATCGTTCAGATGGAGTTTCTTTGTGTTCTTTTATTAAATGAATGAACATTATCACAAATTCTTATTTGTTTAGTTAAACAAACAAACAATGGTCTCATTCATTCATTTGTGTTCGTAAGCTTTTTTTTATGTTCTTTCGTTTAAGTTTGTTTATTTTCATACACGTTCATTATTTTTTTTTATTACATTACTATATTGTATGTTTGTTTATTTTTATATATGCTCAATTGTGTTTGTTTATCTCCATTCGTTTATATTCGTTTAGCATGTTCACGATTGGGGTGGGGGTGGGGGGGGGGGTGGGGAATACAGAAATCTCAACACTTTTTGTTCTACCATGGGCATTGTTCACCGCGTCTCATGCCCTCATACTCACGAACAAAATGGCTTTGTCGAACGTCAAAATCGACATATTGTTGAAATCTGGCTCTCTCTTTTAGCTCAAGGAAATGTTCCCCAACACTTTTGGCATTATGCCTTTGACACTGCCACCTTTATGATTAATCGGATGCCATCTCATGTCTCTCAATCAATTTCTCCATATGAGCATATTTTTCACAAACAATCATATTACTTATTTCTTACGGTTTTTGGATGTCAATGCTTTCCATATCTTCGTCCATACAATGCTCATAAACTTGAATTTCACTCTACCTCGTGTGTCTTCTTAGGTTATAGCCCGACTCATCATAGCTATCAATGTCTTGACATTCAAACCAATCGTATTTATGTAGACCGTCGTGTTCGATTTAATGAACTTGTCTTCCTATTTTTACCCAATTTCATGCCCACGTCATTCTACTCTAAACCCGATCACCCATCATCTATGACCCAACTGGTTGAGAATCCTTTACCTCCCGAACCCCACACAGTTTTTCCAATTCTAGAAATTCCTACATCTGATGACGACTCTCCTATTTCCCTCGGTGAGTCCACAACTACCATGTCTCCATCCACTACTCCCGCCAATGAGATAGCTACTCATCCGAGTACAAGTTCCATACCAGAAGCTACTCCGCCGAGTCCGTCCCCCCTCCTGTCACTCACACTCATTCCATGTCTCTCCGACCAAATCCCAAACCTCGTGTTCCTTTTGATCCTTCTACATCCCATGTCACTCGGTCTAAATCAGCGGAAACATAGCCTTCCTCTTTTACTGTTGCTAAAAAATTTGTTTAGTGGCGCAGGCCTATGGCTGAGGAGTACTATGCACTGGTTCGGAATGACACTTGGAATCTTGTCCCTTTTCAGAAAATTATAACATTGTTGGGTGCAAATGGGTGTACAAAATTAAGCGAAAGGCGGACGGAACCATCGAACGTGATAAAGCTCGCTTAGTTGCCAAAGGATTCCATCAACAACTAGGTATTGACTTTGAAGAAACTTTCAATCCTGTCATCAAATCTACCACAATTCGGGCGGTTCTCTCACTTGCTATCTCTCAAGGGTGGTCACTCTGTCAGCTCGATGTTCAAAATGCCTTTCTTCATGGGCATCTTAATGAGACTATCTACATGTCTCAACCACCGGGATTTGTTGATCCTGCTCATCCACATCATGTGTGTCGGCTCAAGCGATCTATCGATGGTTTAAAACAGGCTCCTTGTGCTTGGTTTCACCGGCTCTCTAGCACTCTGGTTAATCATGGCTTTACCGGCTCTAAGACTGACTTATCATTCATCTACTCTCGGAGTTCTATTGTTCTTTACGTCCTCGTCTACGTTGATGATATTATTGTGACAGGGAACAATGCATCCCAAATTGATCGCCTAGTCTCCACTCTTGGATCTGAATTCGCCTTAAAAGATTTGGGTGGCTTACATCATTTTCTTGGGATTGAAGTTATCTCGAGTGGATCAGACATTATCTTGTCCCAACAACAATACGTTCTTGACTTATTGCGTCGGGCGGGTCTCTCCGATGCCAAACCAACGCCTTCCCTTATGTCATCGACAACGCAACTCACCGGGAATCTGGTACACCGTTTGACGATCCAACGAAGTACCATCAAATTGTTGGTGCCCTGCAATATGCTACCCTTTCTCGCCCAGACATTGCTTATGTTGTCAACAAAGTTTGCCAATTTATGCATGCACCGATATATCATCATTGGTCAGCAGTCAAACGTATTCTTCTGTATCTTCGGGGCTAGGGATGTCAACGGGGGTAAACGGGAGCGGAAATAGGTACCCCTACCCCCCCCCCCCCCGAAATAAGTTGTTGCCCCAGCTCCCGCTCCCGCTCCCGGTTCCCCCGTGTACACAACCCCCGGTCCGCCCCCCGGCTACCTCCATCGCCCCCGTTCCCGCCCCTGCTCCCCCGCTTCCCCGACTTAAAATTAGATTTTTTTTGCTAAAAAATTGCTTTGTTTATGGCAAAATTGCTATTTTTAATACTATTGATCAAGCATTCTTACTTGTAGCTAATTAATTGATAGCAACAATATATGAAATTACGAAACCTGGAAAAGATTAATTACAAGCAGCAGAAATCAATAGGAGTGATAAACAGAAATCAGTGAAAGTGAGAAGCAAAATTCGGTGAGAGTGAGAATTTAGAAGCAGAAATTGAAAACAGCAGAAATTGATAGCAGCAACAAGTGGTATTTACCATCAATTGTGGAAGGCTTCGGCAGTGGTGAGCGGGTGACGGAAGAAAGCCGAAGTCGCAGCCTCGCAGGTAGTCTGTGGGAGTTGGAGATTGGAGAAGTCGCGTAGGCAGTCGTCACTACTCACTCGCCACTCGCCGGTCGAAGACCGGGAGTACAGGTCGCCGACTACGGGAACGGGAAGGAGAAGGAGGATGAAGTCCTCGACGACTCGACGTCGACTCCTCGAAACTAGAAAGTCGCTCTTCCTATTTGCCCCCCATTCGTGAGTGACGATTGAAAACGGACGGAAGAAAGATGAAGCCCTAATTTTTCATTTGTAATTTCCATTATATATATATATATATATATATATATATATATATATATATATATATATATATATATATATATATATATATATATATAATAAAAAAAACTAAACGGGGCCCCGTGGGAGTACGGGACGGAAATACTCACTCCCGCCCCCGGTCTCGAAAATAAACGGGAGTTAATATCGCCCCCGCTCCCGCTCCGGCTCCCGATTTTTTTTTTTTTTTTTTTAAAAAATTAGTCTCGTACGGTATCGGGGTCCCACCGGGACGGGGTTCCACGAGAATTTTTGACATCCCTATTCGGGGCACGAACTCCCTTAGACTTCTTATTCGACGCAATTCTACACTAGCCCCTTCATGCCTTTTCCGACTCTACAATTAATGCCTTCTCCGACGCTGATTGGGTCGGGTGTCTGGATGATCGGAGATGAACAGGAGACTTTGCTATATTTCTTGGCACAAATCTCATTTCCTGGTGTTCACGAAAGCAACGAATGGTCTCCCGCTCCTCCACCTAGGCGGAATATAAAGCCATGGCCGACACTGCGGCTGAACTTACTTGGCTTCAGGCTCTACTCAGAGAACTAGGTGTTAGTACTCAAGCATCTCCAACACTTTGGTGTGATAATCTTGGCGCTACCTACCTCTCTGCCAATCCAGTGTTTCACGTTTGCACAAAACACATTGAAATCGATTTTCACTTTGTTAGGGAAAAGGTCTCTAAAGGTGAGCTACGAGTTCGATTTATTTCCACTAATGATCAAATGGCCGATGTCTTCACCAAGCCACTATCAACACCGAGGTTTCAATTTCTTCGGTCCAAGCTTCAGGTCGTGTCCCGCCCTTAGCTTGTGGGGGCATATTAAACCAATGTTTAACAATAGTTTATAGTTAAGGGGTTAGTTTTGTAATATGTTTCCTATATATATCTTGTACTCTTTTATTCAATGTAATGAAAAAAAGATTAACCTTAATCAATTAAGGTTTTATACTACCTAAAATGTTTTACTGTTCATTTAGTAAATTTTATACATTAAATGTGAAGTAATTTGATTAATTTATGAATTATTGAGTCATTAACATGATGTTGCTTGTGCCTTGTAGTATTCATTCATTTTCGATGTATAATTATTACCAACTTTGGGTAGTTTAGTAATTTATCTTTTGTAAAATAATGACAGGCGAACATGGTAACATTCATGAAACAAAGAAGCCATTAGCTGGTCGTTTTTTAAATAAATTTTCAGTTTCCAAAACAAATAAAAATAAATAACAAGACAAAAAACAAAGAAGCCATTAACGATTCAATTACACGAACATTCAAGAAACCAAAACGAGGCCCTCAGGAGTGTTTGGTTTAGCTTTTAAAAGCCTAAAAGTTCTTTTTAGAAAAGTTATAAAAAATTAGAATTTCATAACTTTTCCAAAAAGTTTATTTTCTTTGTATAAAAACTTTAAAACTAACTTTTAAAACTAACTTTGCCAAACATATTTTGCATTTTTTCTTTCTCAAAAAATACTTTTAGGCTGTGAAAAGTTAAACAAACACTCTCTCAATCTAAACATCACTAACTACCAAACCACAGACCAAAGAGATTCTTGTCCAACGGTACCAGGTGTTGCATAAGTGAATTTAACGTGTAGTTAAGGAGTAGGTTAGATTCACCGTTAGAAAAAAAAAACTACCAAACCACAGTAACATTGCATGGGTATATCATTAGTTTTATTAAATATGTTTGATGAAAGTATGATGACTTCTTATCCGTTGTTATATATAACTTTATATTTAAAATGAGTAATTTATTTATTTTGAAATAAAATAATTATTTTTAAATATTTTAATAACTTTTAATAAAATAAAAGATAATCCAAATTATATTTATTTAATAAAAATCTGGTTACATGAATGAAAAAATTGATTGGATTGGATTATAATAAAGAAAAATTAAAATTTTAACAGAAAACTAAATTGGGCTAAGTTACTAATATAAATAGTAGAAAAGACCGAAATAATTAATATCAATACCAATATATAATAATATATGTTGATATAAATAGTGATAAAACTTATCTTAAATTAATATCAATATATAATAATATATAATATGTTGTCAATAGAAAATACTTACTATTTAAATTCTCTTAAGTTATAGAAACTTGCCTACAAAAGCATTTTATTTGGCATTTAAACAGACAAAAAAAACATTTTCTGCAAAGAACCTTTTTTGAATCTACTCAAATAAATATATTCACACAATAACGTATGGTCCAAACTACCCTAAGCATCCGGCGCCAGTAAGCTGAACCAATCAAAACCTTTTATTGTTCATCACACGGATCCTAATCCTACAGCTCTGTGTCCTTCATACTGTGCTAATCCAACGGTTCAAATTACACCTCCCAAAAACTTAAACTTTCTTCCGCCTTATCTACAAAATCCCTCCATTCCATGACCATTTTAAACATAAACAAAAATCAAATCCAGAGAAAAGTCAAGTAGAGGAGAATCGGAGGTGTCAGGAAGAGGAAAAGGAGGCAAGGGATTGGGAAAGGGAGGAGCAAAACGTCATCGTAAGATTCTCCGGGACAATATCCAAGGTATCACGAAGCCGGCGTCTGGCTAGGCGAGGGGGTGTTAAGCGTATCAGTGGTTTAATCTACGAGGAGACGCGTGGAGTTTTAAAGATCTTTCTTGAGAATGTTATCCGCGACGCCGTCACATACACTGAACATGCTCGCCGGAAAACTGTTACGGCCATGGACGTCGTTTATGCTTTGAAGCGCCAGGGTCGTACTCTGTACGGTTTTGGTGGTTAGATGAAATTTACGGATTTGGGATTGTAATCTTGAAGCGATATTTTATGTAACTAAACCTCTTAATATAATATCAGTTTATGAGCAGTTCATATTTCTTTGAATGATTTATGTTTATGCAATCCATGAATGTTAGTTATTTAGCGTTGTAAGGAATATACGCAAAGATTGTTTATAGAGTCCCCATATTCCGATTTTTGGGGGTTTTAACGCTATACAACACGATAACACAAATGAGTTACATTATAGAACACCTAAAATTGGGAGGAAGGTAGGATTATGGGTGTTGATCCGATAATATTTTTGGTTTCCGATAATTTGGGTTTTTTATGTTAAAAAAATGACCTGTTACTCTACTCAGAGTAAATTTGGGTAATGGGTTGGATTTGGGTAATTCAGATATTATAGGAAATAAAAAGTTTTTTTTTTTTTTTTTTTTTTTTTTTAAAATTTCATCTGAAAATAAATTTAATGAAATAAATACGCTGTACATTATTGGTCATGTTTATGTAAACAAACAAGATATAAATCGTAGTTACTTAAACTTTGAACATTGAGATTTTTTAATCAATAATACTTGAGATATCAAATCATTTTTTAACAACTTAATCTAATATAATAACGTGTTAAAAAACAAATACTTGAATATTTTAATTTAAAAGTTAAAAATGTTTAAGATAATTGTAGCCATAAGTTTTGCTATGTTTTAAAGTTTCGTCATGATAATGAGTTTGTTAGTTGCAATAAAAACTATAATATAGAAAAAAGTTAAGTTTTAAAAAACATGATAATATATAAACAATTACTTTTAATATTATTAGTATCGTATTGTCATAATAAATAGATTCATGTTTTACAATAATGATAATTAGTTTAAGCGTTATCAAATATCTGCTATATAGTACAAGCTCTAAAAAAGGAAAATTTTAAAATAATTTGGGTAATTCGGGTATACCCGAAACCCAAAAAATGTACCCTTTACTCGACTCGAAAAAAATCGGGTTACCCGATAACCCGAAATTTTTTACCCGATACCCGAAAAAATCGAGCGGGTAATTCGGGTATCGGGTATTTTCGACAGAGCTAGGTAGGATGGCAAAAAAACCCGATCTGATGGGAAAAACCTGACCCTTGAAGATGTTGGGGTGGGTTGGGTCGTGCTTATTGGGTTTCAGTTCGCTATTGGGTATTCTATTCGGGTCGAGGAGTGAGGTATGCCCACCCTGCCCCCCATTATATATATATATATATATATATATATATATATATATATATATATATATATATATATATATATATAAAAGCTTAGATATCCAAACACATTATATTAAATCGTTTTGTATCATATAATATATTGTAATTGTCCAATGTTTTTATACTTTAACTTTTAACTTTATGTACTTCCAATATTTTTGTAAATTACACATCTATCTTACTCTTATATAATTTTCATTTTCAACTACAATATATATAGCCTAGTAGATGTTCGGTAAAAAGATGTGATTTAAGAGAAAGATAATAGTGAAATTTCGAATATCTTGAAAGTAAATCAAGTTAAGGTTGAAGTTTAAGAACATTATAATAAATATATCAAAGAAAATGACGTATTATGATGTGTTTGGGTACCTAAACTTATATATTTTTAAGGATATATTCACTTTTCCTTATATATATATATATATATATATATATATATATATATATATATATATATATATATATATATATATATATATATGGGTAAATTACACCAATTGTCCCTGGTGCAGATGCCAGAAAGCGTGTTTAGTCCCTATTTTTAAAATTTAGGGTAAATTACACCAATCATCCCTCATGTAAGTGCCAGAAAGCACGTTTGATCCCTATTTTCAAAAATTAACCCGGACCATCCGTCGTTTGTTTTATACTTGCACGCTTCATCCCTGAAAGACGAATTTGTTGCGCTTTTAGTCCATTCCAGATTTAAAATGACCATAATGCCCTTATGTATTTATTTTTCAATTAATCTAATAATATTTACTATTATTTTTAATTTAAAAGGAAATTGGGTCTCACTTCCACTCCTTCGTCCTTTACCTTCAGCTCACCCACCCCTTTTCTCTGTAAACCTAAAGAACACCACACAAACACCGGCAACAAGTACCTCCCTGATATGTCAAAATCCGGCCACCGGCGGTACATCTGGCCTCCAATCCGCCACCTTCGCCTCTACAATCCGAATTTCCGTTCAAAACCTTCGTAATCGCTGTCAAAATCAGCAAATCCACAAGTGGATCTATGCATTCGTTGTATTAGATTTACATCATCTCAGATCTACTTGTGTTCGATGGAAAACCTTCGTCTTCGTCACTAACTGTTATTCGTCACCATGTTTTCGTCGGAGATGGAGCCCAATTTGCATTGCTTTGCGCTTAGGTCTTGAGAGTTACAAACCCGATTTGCAGATGTGTTGCCGTCGGCATATTTGAACAAGAAAGGAGAATGTGGCTGAGTGGATCTTCTTTCTCGGAAGTCATCGATCTCCTTCACCTGTACACCACCATCGGAAATCGTCTTCGGAGTTTCAAACATGTTTTCAGTGATCAGTGGTAGTATTGGAGGACGAAGTCAGGTGTAAAGGTGACACTTTAAACATAAGCGAATGTAATTTAAGGGTGAACGAAGGCGGTAGCAAGAGGTGTAAGGTGGTGATGGTGGTTTGGTTCAATGGTGTTAGTCTGTGAAAGAGGTGTGAGAATAGTGGAGAAGGAAAGTGACGTAATGAGGGGTTGGGATAGTTTGTTTTTTTCATTGTTTTTAATTTAAAATTGATAAGGAAACAAAAGTAAAAGAAAAAAGAAATTAAGGGTAAAAAAGTCATTTCATGTCAATAGGGACTAAGTGTGCAAGAAAAAACAAACCGAGGGACGGTCCGAGTTAATTTTAGAAATAGGGACTAAACATGCTTTTTGGCATATGCACGAGGGACGAATGGTGTAATTTACCCTAAAATTTAATTCGAACCGTAGCTGGATGTGTTTCTTCTTGCACACTTAGTCCCTCCGAACATAAAAAGACCGTTTTGCCCTTAATTATTTATTTTTTGATTTATTTTCTATTTATTTGTTATTTATTATTTACTTATTGATTTTTTTATCATAAAAAATAATTATTTGCTGCCCTTTAGAAAAAGAAATTGACTCTAAATCTAAGCACCTTCATAACTCATCTCTTCCCCATCACCACTGCTATCACCGTCGACTCCAATACTCCGACGACTCAAAGATATCTCCGACTACTACAAGACATCTCCGACAACACAATAATACCCTCATCACCACACCACACCACACCCCAATCCACCCCCCCCCCCCTTTTCATTTCCCCTTTTCCTATTGCCTTCATTGGAAACCAAGTCGTTGGACCACCTATCCATTTAGCGAGAGGGTTACAGATCTACAAAAAGGAGGTCGAATGGTGGTATTTGGGTAGTAATGGTGATTATTCGAGATTTTGTAGTTGGTGTTTGAATTTCTTGCAGGTGGGGTTTCCAGTAGAAGTTGTTGGGGTGATGAGGTTACTGGTTAGGTGGTTTTCAAATTGGAGTTGTTATCAGCTGGTGTTTGTACACAAAGATGTTGTTGGTGAAAGAGGTGGTGGTTTCTGGTTATTTTCCAAGTAACAGGTGGTGTAAGGAGGAGGTGAAACAGGTGCTCGATGGAAGGACGGTGGTGGTCTTGAGCTTTAAACTGGCGACTAGGGTGGGTGAGGTGAGGGTCGATTTCCATGGTGGTGTAGATTTCAAGTGAGGAATGAGGTCATGGATCCAAAAACCACGATTGTAGCCGGAAACTAGATTTGAAAACCCAATCCTCGAGCTCTTGACAACTCGATCTTACACATAGATGTCATTGCCGAAATATTAGAGGGTAAGAGTTTGATAGCGTCGCCGAAATACTAGGTGAGGGTTTAATTTTTGTTTTGGGTTTAAGTTGTAGATTGGATTTTTGTTTTGTATTTGAGTCGCAACTTCGAGTTTATGGACGGAGATGGTGACCGGAGCTGCTGCCGGGCACTAAGTCTATAGAAGGAGATGGTGACTGGAGGTGGTGCCAGGAACCGGGTTTGTGAACGAATGTGGAGATCGGGATCTTGAAGAACATTAAATGAATTGGAAAGGAAATAAAGAGATTAAGTGGGTCATAATATGTATTTTTTTTTTTAATTAACACCAATAAGAAGAACATTAAATTAATCAGAAAATAATTACCAAAAGGGCATAATGGTCATTTCAGGTACCGTAAGGGATGAAGCGTGCAAAATTAAATTAACGAGGGATAAAACATGCAAGCTTTAACCAAACAAGGGACGATCCGAGTTAATTTTAAAACATAAGGACTAAACATGCTTTCTGGCATGTGCACGAGGGACGATTGGTGTAATTTACTCTCTCTCTCTCTCTCTCTCTCTCTATATATATATATATATATATATATATATATATATATATATATATATATATATATATATATATATATATATATATATAGCCCATCAAAACTCTAACCCTAATATCACACATATGATACTATCATTTTCTCTTCGAGCTGACATCCAAAGTTAATGTAATAAAAATTTCTATGGTCTGTTCTCTCAATTGTTTTCATTTAATTTGATTTTTCGACCTCTTGCAACTTCGTTTGTTTTTCTCCGGCAGGTAGGCACTAGCAATAGCAACCATCGAGCTAGCGGCTTGCATTTTGAATCAGTCGACCTGCAGTTTGAATCTAAAGCTGGACACCATAGCCAAAGAAGTTGAAGTTGAGCTAATTTCAAGAGACATTAACTCAAATTCAACTAGATTAGAACTCAAAACAGCTCAAATTGAATCAAATTCATTAGAAATCAAAACTCAAATCACATTAAATTTGGATAAATGTGATCATGCGAACGAATTCAGAACAATTATGCATCGAGTCAACCATTTTTTTAATCTTATCTATATTTATAGTGTCGATTAGATG